GAAAATACCAACAACTGTCTGCCCAGAATATGATAGAAATCATTCCGATCAAACGGAATTGGAAACGAACAGAGATGGCATAGAAACAGTTCTTTCGAAAACTATCAGAGAATTCCAGAAAATATTAGTACAACGTTTTACTTTGTCCCTATTATGAAGAAAGCATCGCAAAACATTAGAATGTGAACAATGATTGTAATTTTTTAATCAATATATGATAATGTTCTTGGCAATGATTACCACATAAAATTAGTGTCGAACAAATATTATCTTTAAAATCAATTACAGATAAAGAAATATTCCCGATTAAAAAAGTCTCGAACAGGATTTTTCTTTTTATGAGTACCCTCTCAATAAATGATCGTTTACAAACAATAGCTCAACTAGTCGAATCGTAGATAAAATAATATTTAAACAACATTGTTTGATTAGGTTGACTTTAAAAAGATATGAAACTGAGTTGGACGCGGCCGCCTTTAAGTGAGCAGAGTATGAAAGATATCGGTACCAATGTTAACGAGTGTATACCCTCCATAATATCATTGCAATACTTTAACTAGACAAAGATACAGATAATGTAATGTTTGGCAGGGTGGATACAATTTAATGTTCATATAGCAAGACTTGAAAGAATTTTTCGAAAAATAATTTGAAAATATGTAGGTTTAAACGCAAACGATAAATATTTAAAACTTTTACTGTATTGTTGGCGTTTTAATTAGATTAACCTCATCAAATAGATTAAAAGAAATCCCTTTAATAGGAAAAGTTTCAGTCTAGGGTCAAACGTGAACAGAAACAAAAACCAATCTTTGTCTATACATTCAGAATCAAATACTCACAAACGTATGTGGAAAGTTAGAAGAGTTCAATAATTCTTAAGTGATTTAAGACAAGTGATAATATTGAAAAATTAACAGGAAAGGAAATTAAATGTCATTAAATGAACAGGTGGAGATAAAGGGAGAGTTATGATAACGTAAATATTAGTGGAGCATAGGCAACTTGCCACGGGGTTTTAAGCCTGGAAGATAGAGTTCCGTATTATAAACGAAACACTATTGTCGAATGTATCATCATTATGAGTCAATACCAAGAAGTATGTAAAGTAATACTTAAGTCCTGCTATTAATTAAGCACGTTTCATTTTCGAATGTAAACATGACAGCTTCATCTATGTTGTCTGTGCAGTAGATGACATCATCATATTTGTTGAATTCGACGTCCTTAAAATAATCTTTCCATTTTTCCTCAAAAAGATATCATCTCCACTGTCGTCTAATCTGTTCATGATGATACATCATTAATGACTTTGAAGCGTTGCCCGTCTAGACATCCAATATAAATGTTTTTTTCTAGGTTTAGATTATTTTAGATGAAGTCTTGTATATTTGTATAATATCACACATTTGTGTGTGTTTGCCTGTGCTATATCGTGGACACGCCCATCGTATTCGACGTATGAGGGTCGAGTAGCTCAGTTCCTAGGAACCGACAGCCAGACACCAGCACATATGATTTGATTATAGTGGCGAAAGCTTTATACAGAACCAACTACACTTTTTAAAGGGTCCAATAGAGAGACCTGCTGCACTACGTGCCACAGGGTCCCCAAACTACCCTCCGAAGGTTTCAGAATTGCCATCAAAAGTTATGGAACACTGTCTGTCCTGCTATTTAATAATAGCTGCAAGGAGTAGAGGAGGATTACTACCTGATATATATATATATATATATATATATATATATATATATATATGTGTGTGTGTGTGTGTGTGAAATGTGTATATAAATATAAATAAATATAAGTATGTATAATTATTTACATATTATATGCGCGGTACTTATTAGAAAGCGCTCAATATCAGAGATAGAGCTAACATATTTGGTTGGATTGATGTGAGTTTGTGACGCTGGGTTTCACGCTTTAGCGATCGTCATATATATATATATACACTGAACGCATGGTAATGCTTAAATTTAAAATACTCTATATTTTTATTCAGATGGCAGAAAGGAAATAAAGTTAAATGTCAAATGAAAAAATCAGTAACATCAGCATTATAATATATATATATATATATATATATATATATATATATAGAGAGAGAGAGAGAGAGCAATGACCATGATATTCTTTGTATATTGTATTGTGAACTTGTTCCAATTTACACAATTAAATAATCACATTGGTCACATGATAGGCTAAATAATTAGGTGTTTGTCTACCCATTTGTTTGATCTTAGTTCGATAATGATGTACTTAATTACGCATACGCAACTCAACATTTTATAAGACATTATAGTTTTTAGATTAGACTCACAATAGTTGCAACGTTTTGGAGGAGTTTTACCGGCATACCAGCATATCGTTACAGCTATTTCTATAAATCACAATATAGAATATAGAATATACAAATATGCTTAGAGTGAAAAATTTGAAAATGCCTAATGGAATAGCCGAAATCTCTTAAGATCATAAAAACTTTGCTCCATTTCTACACTATATTTATTTTTCAAAAAGAAATACAATAAAGACACTAGTAATCTGAATGAAAAAAACTTATATTTTTCTTGCCTGTCACATGTATAAAAGAAGGGTGGCTGCTCAAATATACTATACACAGATACACACAAACTCATGCACGCATAATTATACACTATTCGACACCAACGAGTATATGAAAGAGTCCGCCAGTCAATGTTCCGACGGGTGCATGTGTGGGTAGAAAGTAAGCGGAGGGAATTTTGAACATCTGCTATGAGTTGCTCTGTCGAGGTACAACGATGACCTTTTGGATATATATTTACATGTACATTTTACCTTGTTTTGGTGTCAGGAATACGCCCCCAAAGTTTGGAATTGTATCTTGGATTGTACATTTAACAATGTCTACCGTAAAATCTGAATCGAATAAGTCAAAAACAAAGGTTTTGCAGACATTTGTTTAAATGATCTTTTGTCCTTGTTTTGGTCTGAGGAACATGCCCCTAAATTGTGTGAACGGATTTTTGATACACACTGCATATATTAATGTATGTCTCTGTGTGCCTATATATGACTATATGTAAGTACACACACAAACATATATATATATATATATATATATATATATATATATATATGATGAAAAATTTACGGAAAATCAAACAAAAATCCTAATATGCAATTATGCTGTTTTAATGTTAATATTGAAACGGAACGCTGATCTTATAAAAATTTCAGTTATCTGTTTTGATTAGTCTTACTCTTATGTCCATCGTCTTTTCATGTTGAATTGAATATAGTCTAATGTTAATTATGTTTTATGAATATGTCCTGAAGAAGGTCTACTAGACCGAAACGTCGGACATGGACATTATATTAACATTAAAACAGCATAATTGCATATTAGGATTTTTGTTTGTTTTTCCGTATATTTTTCTTCATACTGTCGGATCTATATCCATATATTTTTTTACATACACACATACACACATATATATATATATATATATATATATATATATATATATATATATATATATATATATATATATATATATATCATATATGTGAATAGAGTCATTCATTGTCCGTTATATATTTCATTGCTTGCAACGTGATATAAATCTGAATTTGTCGTTGCCCATATTAATAACTGAAATGTTTAACACGCCAGGAATGAACGCCTGATCAGTGCAGTCTATTTCAACCTGAGTTCGTGCATAAAATAGTACTTACGCTAAAACTTTTCTCACCTCTCGTTTCTGAATGTCTCCAGCTGTGCCATCTTTATTGTCTCGTTCCTGTGAACTAGAATTCGTACGTTTATTCATAAACTTTCTTTGTTTTCTAAATAAACCGAAATAAAAATTCTAAACTTGAAGGCACGCAACAAAATGAAGTAAAAAAAAAAAGAAGATAAGTAGGAAGCAAGTTTTCACTTTATCAAAACGTCAATGACGTCCATTTTGAAATAATTTTCCATTTTTTTTTCTTTTATCATCTACAAATACAGTGCCTCTAATCTACTTCACAAAACTCTATACAAGGTTTTTGAATCCACAGTCTGCATGACTCTCCGCCACTAATTTCTCTTCCTATTCTGTAATCATTCCTTCTTTCCTTTCAACACACCATCAGTACGCTATTTAAAAGCATAAGCAATTATAATATTAAAATGATCATAGAGAACATCTGTCTATATTTCTGAGAAGAGGTATTGTAACTGCGTAATTGCATAGTTCTGACTGGTATCCTCATCTTTATTGTCATATTAATCGACATATATATATGCACGCCCCGGTATTTTTCAGGTAATATTTGGGGAATTTTCCAAAAGTGAGATATCCAAAAAGGGTATTGCACGTGGAATAAGAACGATCTAACTTCGTGGTCTAAATAAAAGGTTCGCTTCTAAATTCCAACTGGCCGAACAATGTAAATAATATAGATTATACAAAACTTCCATAATCCTACTGACATTTATCTGAAGAACGTTACTGCTGCTGTTATGTTGAGATGAGTATCATGAATAATATATAAAGAGTTATATTTCAAAACAGACTCAAGAAAACATTTGAAGGCTTACATTTGACAATGTATTTCATATTACCCTTTGAACAATCTGATATCAAAACGGACTAAAGTTGATTGATATATTTTTTACGCCTTATCTAAGCTCTGTGGATTTACTAAATATATACATATCTTACATTGGAAGAATGATTATTTTTACCAAGTGACTATTTCGTTACTAACTTTTTCAGAGTAACAATATTTTTCCCCAGACAGAAATTCTACTATTTAACGGATAACTGTAGGGGGATATGGATTCATGCCTTTTCCAAGAATATTTGCACGAAAGCGAATGTAACGAACCAGACTGGAAATCAAACTCGGTGCTCCGTTTTCCCCACCCGGAGTCGTTATCCATTAAACCACCCACACAATGGAATGAAGAGAAATTCTGAACAGTAATCTGTCACACAGATCAGATTTGTATCTCAGAACTGGCTTACGGCCATACCACGTTGAACCACCGGTTTCCGTACGATCGCCGAAGTTAAGCAATGTCGAGCCTGCCCAGTATCTAATTGGTTGAGCCCTTGAGAATACCAAATATTGTAAACTTGAGTTTGCGGGAGAGCCGATTTCAAACTCCAGTTGGGTTCGTTATATTCACCTAGGCGAAAATAACTTTTGGAAACATATGTAGCCACCTTTTCTTCCTCCATGTTCTCATGGTCAGAAATCGAATGTGTGGCCAACAAGATTAATTGATACATACATACATACATATATATATATATATATATATATATATATATATATATATACATATATATATACGGCCGTCCAGTACTTTCTGCATTCTGTTGAGGTTTTTTCTAGACTCGATGAATTTAATTAATTATAATTATCTCAAATCCTCCTAATTTCTATCACACACACACACACTTTAATATATATTATATATATATATATATATATATATATATATATATATATATCCCAGCAAGCAGAAAATTATTTTGAACATATATGATGATGGACATGTTGACCAACCTAGTTGAGGAATCTAAATGAAATAATAATAAAAACGAAAAGAATAATAATATACAACACAGTGTTTCTGAAGATTTTAATTTTTTAATATTTTTATTGTTCAAAAAAATATATATATATATATATATATTTAAAAATTTTTATGTTTATACATTGTTTTTATTGATACAATTATTTAAGTAAATGCTCTATTTTATAATAAACAGTATTAAACAACATTTCTGCCTGAATGTTGAGAAAAACATTTTCACAATAAAAATATTAATTTGAAATTTTTCTTAGAAAATATTCTTGTATCTATAAAAAGAATGTAAAAAAAATAAAAATGTCTTAAAAATAATTGTCGGACTTTGTCCATTTCATAATGTGTGACGTCATATATATATATATATATATATATATATATATATATATATAAAGCTTGATGGCCACGTGGTAAAGTGGTTAGAACGTTCACTTGATGACCATAAGACCATGGGGTAAAGAAGAGGTGGCTACATAAGATTCCAAAGTTATTTTGGCCTAAGGGAATATAACGAAACCAACTGGAAAATTTATATTGTTGTAGCATACCTACTGACGATAATGGTTATGTCCCCATTCACATAAATAGAGTAGTATATACTGTATGCTGTTCTACACTTGGAGATTCGTCTACAGCTGTACTGGTCAAACTCTGTCAGTGGGCAGAGAGGATAAGGTCAGAGATTCGTCTCTGGAAACAGCTACCCGATCTCATTTTATACGGGGTCTGCGGGGAATTTTGGGCCGAGCCTACGGATTCGGATACCTCGTATTAAATTCGGCCTTGTGCCACATCTGACCGCGTAGGGCGGTTAGTAGATATCCTGCAGTTGGAGATTCATCTCCAGCAGTTCTGGTCAAATTCTCTGTCTCTGAAAAGAGGTTATGAGGTAATGTCGAAGGGTAGAGTCTCGTCTGGAAAAACAGCTACTCGATCCCCATTTTATACGAGGCCTACGGGGAATTATTGGATGATCCTACGGACTCGGATATCCCAAGTTAAATTTGGACTTGTGCCACATCTGACCGGGTGGGACGGTTGGTAGATATATTGCAGTTGGAGATTCATTGTTGAATTCACTTCACTCACTTCTAGCAGTTGACTACTACTTCTACGCGCCGCTGGCGAATCTTATATGTGTTGTTCTTGTCCTAAATATTATCGTTCATTACCAAACTTCCTGTGATTATTCTATTCAGTAACCTTCCCTAGGTTACAACATTTATATATTTTTTTTCATTTCTAATATATTCGTAGGCTTGTTTTTATTTGTTAGAATTCGATTTATGTTATTTACAATGTACTTACGCACAAATACCAGTGGGAAATGTATAAATACATCTCTTTTCCTGCTATGGTTCAAATAGTAGCACTTATATTGGGAAAATCAGTAATATGCTCAAAAAATTGTTAACTAAATATTCACACGCAAAAGAAAATTATTATTCTTACTATCCAGTTCCAACTCCAGTTAGTCATATTTACTTACGCACAAATACCCTTGCGAAAGGTATGAATCCACCTCTTCCCCTCTTGTTATGGGTTAATTAGTAATACTTGTATCACTAAATCATTATTATATCCAAATAAAATTCTTACAGTCTATAAATACTTTCTGCAAATTATTGATATGTCGTAGAAAAGAAATCGATGAATCAATTAAAATCCCAAAACTGGTTTATTTTACATTGAACTCAAGAGAACTGCTGGTCAGTGATTTTTCAAAATAGATGCAAGTAACCCCGATCTATTTTTTTTAAATATATTTAACTGAAATTCTGAAAAGTGATTTTGTTTTTCAAAATGGACGTAAGAGAACTCCGGAAGAGTGTTATTTCAAAATGAACTCTAAAATATATCAGAACAGTTTCATTTTACAATGAATTCAAGCACCACTTAACACATTTAGATTTGTGACGTAACTTTCTTTTCGTAATCGTTATATTTAGAAATTTCTGATTTCTTTTCTGCGTTCAAATCATAGTACACTTTTAGAAATCCTGTTATTCTCATTTTGATTGCCTACAACGGCCTGCTTGATCACCGTCACTCAAGGTCATATTCACCAATTAATAAGAAAAAATGAACACACGAGGTGTACGCCTTTTCATTTCGTATAATAATTTTTCCATTATTAATTCTCTTCTGCTTAAATTTATTTCTAAATTTTCTAGTTAACTTGACTAAATATTTTATGAGGATTTCAACATTTCCATATTTAATTGTGAAATAAATATAAAAATTAATGCTAGAAATTTCGCAATTTCTTCCACTGAATATATATTTCCCTTCTTAAAACTGAACTTAATTTATACGAAAGCTTGTCAATTTTTACATGAGAGAGTAAGTAAAATAAATGCTTACAGATTTACATACGGATGGAGAACATTCCAGGTCGTGTTATGGCTAGCGAGGTCTTTTGATTGGCATTTAATTGTGATATTAATCCTCACTAAGCGGGCAGTAGTAATGGACTTGTGCCAACCTAATCGTAGTACTTAGTACTAAATTCAGACATTTGCCATTTCATTTTTTTACTTTCCTTTTAAAACCACAATAAATTTCTGAAGAATACTTTTATTTTGCGAGCTTGAAATAAATGCATTTACATAAAAAAGAAGGTTTATTAATTTTATTTTTAAATTTTAAGCGATTTACATAAGACACCATATGTATTTAGATCAATCCACTCGAAGTTATATCGAAATCTGAAATTTGAATTTCTCAAGCAACATTGTTAAGATCATCTGATCTTATTAATATTACCGAAATGCCAATTCCTTATAAATATCGATTGGCCTCAAGGTGATTATCTTAACTGATCCATAGGCTAATTTGAAAAGTGATCTGTAAATACCTAGAGAAAAGTGCCGGTCATCCGTCAATGTGAACTGGAAGCGGAATGATATAAGGCATTATTGATTATCAATGCTACTAAAGAATTTCGAAGGAGACCAAGGACTGTGTTGTAGCTTTTTCCCTGTAGTCACTGAACCATTGAGGGGTACATTCTCTCTTAAAGGGGGTTCCATCAATATACTTTAAATATATTACACATTATAACCGTTATGATATTACCAAAGAAAGAATAAATGGATGCTTCAATGAGTCTTAGGGGAGCACCGCAATGCTTGCTAAAAGAAAATAGAAAAGTTATGTGCGAGGTGTACATTGTTAGATGACATTAAATATGGCCACATTTACAGTTTCGTTGGATACGCTGAGAACAATATGTAAGATTATGGAATGATTGATATGGCGAAATTATCTCAAATTTAGAGTCGATATTATTTCATGTTCGGTGATACCAGTTTGTATGTTTGGATGTGGGGGTGCTGTAATGGATAATGACTCGAAATTGTGAGTTGGAGAATCGAGTTCCAAATTCAGTTGGGCTCATTATCTTCACTTACGAGCAAACACCCTTTGGGAAGATGTGGATCCCACTCTTTCTCATCCTATCATGGGTTAATTACTAATACTTGTAATGATAAATCATTATTATCTCCTACAAATGCTTATAATATAAAAATATTTTCTGGCTTTAAATATTCCGTAATGTGTTGATAAACCGTAAAAACATGGATCAATCAATCAATATTTGAAGTTATTCTGTATTAGATACATGTAAAATGCAAACGGGCAGACACATATAATAGATATATTGAAACAGTGTCTGATTAAAATATGGATGCAACTTATAGTATAACAAATTCGCTTATATTAAAATGTTTCCATTATATTTCCGTTATAATGGGATATAAAATATTGAATCCATAAATTACCTTTTGCTTAATTAGACGTCATTCTTTTTAATAATCTTGAGATATAATTATGATGCAATTCAGATTTCGCGTAATCATTTCTACACATTCAGCGAAGTAAATACCGAAAAAAGAAAGGTGAGAATATTTTATATTCAGTAATGTCGCCGAAAATATCGTTCATTTTTCAAATCATAGAAGAAATAAATATTTTAAAATGGTCTCTTCATTTATTTTTATTTATTAAATATAAGCCATTTGGTTTTGAGGCTATAAAAATATTTTTCTGACTTGTTCTTAGTTAAGTCATTTTTTGAGAGGTTAAAGTCTGATAGCTTAGAAAAATCACGAAATATACATTGATACCACTTATTCTACAACTAATTACATTCGATTCAGTCTGGAAGAAGAGTAAAATTGTACAGTATTTTTGAAAGTCGTATACGATCTAATAAGTTTCATAAACTATGCAAAGGCTTTCAACAAAGTACGCCGCAAGGCTCTGTTGGAAGTTCTCAGCAACCTTGATATATTCTGGAAAGATATCAGGATAATCAATAACCAATACTGGCAGCAAACAGCATGCATGCGCATAGAGAACGAGTTCAGCAAATATGCAAAAATAGAAAGAGACTTAAGGCAATGATGCGTCTTCCCATTCCACCTGTTCAATCTATATAGCGAGGCAATTCTGAGAGAAATAGAAACCCTACCAGGATTTAGCATTGGCGGCCACAATTTGAACAACATAAGATACGTAGATGACACAGCAC